GCAACGCATGTGCTGTGAAGCCCGTGATGCCACGGCGCCTCATCCAGCAATGGACGGCAGCCAGCACAGCCCTGCGCCTTTCCTCATGTTCCCGCTCCACCCTCTCTACCTCCACCAACAACTCACGCATCTGTGCAAGAACAGAGTCCATAGAGCTAAACACAATGCGAGTTCAGGGAGAGCACAGCAATGGCGACCGCACGGCAATGGCGATGGCAAAGCAATGACGAAATGCCGAGAAGGAAGTGACTAAAATCACATCCCAAAGACGCGGCGAGCATTCCTGTTTCTGCGCATGTGCAAGAACATTGCTTGTTCGTGTACGGGATTTTATCACTTGTGTGTGAATGGCAAATACAGTTCCCGGGAGCGCTTTCCTTAAAAGCGCGATGAAGGTAATTGCATGTGATAGCCATTTGCGTATTGTAGGGTATCTTTCAGTTTAATTCTGGATTTATTCTTATTTCACTTTATTATCGCTTTGTGGCCCGCGTGTGATAAGGTCCTAAGAGTCTGCATTCCGATTAAGGTAACTGAGATCGAAACAATATAATTGGCATATAACAGAACTGAAACTTTAACATCCTGAATAGTGGCTGGGAAAAAGTACGATCCTTTTAAGGCGTGGACAACATCATTAATATAAAAATTAAATAAAAAAGGTGCCAGAAGACATCTGTGGGGATGCACCATTTGCCCCGAGTTGAACCCTAATGGAAGTATTGTGATGTAGCATTTGAATTAGAAGACGTCTTCTATCAATGTTTGCCACTGCTAACTTTGACTAGAGTCGATCTCGGTCGATTAGGTCAAAAGCAGAAGTAAAATCAACAAAGGCGTAAAACATAACATTGATCTAGTGTGGGTTTACCCTTCCTAAACCTGGCTTGTTCTTCTGCAAAAATGTTGTTTTCCATAGCCCAGTCCTCCAATTTACCTAACAGATATCTTGCATAGTGCTTAGAGATGATACTCAATAGGCTGATAGATCTGAAGTTTTTAGATCAGCCATAGAGCCTTTTTTATGGATAGGAATAACAATACATAGAGCCCACCAGTCTAGATTAGATCTAAATAATTCACTGGGAACGTGTTTTCTCCTGGTGCTTTCTTATTAGGAAGGGATTTAATCAGAGAATTGATTTCATCAATGGATCCCAGGCGAGGCAACAAGAAAATCAAGATAAATCCAATCTGGTAATGGGACTCTGTATTATATCATGATAAAGGTGGGAAAAGAGGCCAGAAAAATGATCTTGTTGGAAATATTTTCTTGATATCTGCTAGGATTCTCAAGAAAGGGGAGAGATTGTTTAATCTCACCAGCAGAATAAAGCACAGCAAAAGAATGATGAACAGGAACTCACTAGGTCCACCTTAATCTCCACACCCCCATGTTTACAAAAAACAACTCAGAGTCCAAGTAGCGAAAAGAAAATGATCTTTACTTACAAAATCATGTATATAAAAATATATAGGTCTAGCTTCAAGTTGCAAAGAGAAGAAAAAAGTAAGAAAATTAGTTCTACATGCTTCTAAGAAAATTCTGTTCTAACATGCTTGCTGGTCGGCCATATCTGGGTAAAAAAAAAAAATGGGAACAAGAGGGTAAGGAGGATTCTCCAAGCACAGGCCAAAAGGGGAAGTGAGTGCAGTTAACAAACAGGAAATGAGGAAGGGGCTATTAGTGGGTAATGAAACTACCATAAACATGCATACTTATATTCCTAGAAAGACTAGCATGCGAAGTTGCTATATCCCAACAGATCTTGCCATTCAGAGGAGGTGATCTGATGATTAGTGATAATCCCTTGAGTGTTTCTAGTGCCTTTATTTACTAGGGACCAAAATCTAGGGGAGTTCTTCTCCACAAGGACCTGACCTAGATCCAACCAAGCCTGTCGTGTGAATTCATTTTTTATTTATTTATTTATTTATTTTTGTCGTAAGTAAATATTTATACTCCCTTCAGTGATAAATATAACACATAATTCTCTGAGGAATCTTCCTCTCTTAACTTATTAATAGCTCTTGCTAAGATACACTTCTGGGAGGCACACCAACCATGATTATACATGTCAGTAGATATGAATGCGAGACTGGGTTTTAATAATAACAAAATAGCCGAGAAATTCCATTTTAACCACTGATTCTGTGCCCTTCAGCAAGGAATTGTCCACCACGAGAACCACGCTGCCTCCTAGGCTTACCAGTGGCTGTTTCCTGTGGTGGTTATCCCTCAGACTCGAGAGAGAAGCCATTTATTTCCAAAAGCTCTCGTACAAACAAGGGGAGACCTGTGTGCCCTTCCATCTTTTGCATTGGGGCCAGCTTTGGGCTGGGCAAAGTGGAGGCTGGTTTTGTGACCCACAGGATCTTCCAGCTTCTTATGTTTTATTTGCAATAATACTCTCCCTCCCTTCTTGTCCGTTAACAATTTAACCTTGCTATTAAACAGCGTTTTATTCAGTGAGAGATGCCCTACAGGATGGAACCAAAATCTGGGATGCTGGGTAGCATTGCATGTGGCTCAGGCGGAATGCCCTCCTCGCCATGCTGGGGAACAGTTGCCTCTGGGGGTTGCTCCTGCTGCTCAGCCTCCACCTCCACTGCCTCTTCTTCCCCCTCTTCCTGTGGGGGCAGGCTAGCTGGCCTTTGTACCTCTGGGTTGGCAGGACCTCCCTGGAGTGGACCTGTGAGTAAGAGGTAATCGTATGGGAAAAAATAATCTGTTGCCATAGAAGTCAAAAATAGTGATAAACGGTCTTGCCAATACATTGGTTCACCTGTTTTTAAATGCATGGGTAAATGCATTTACAAAAGCCATGCACAGAAGGGCAACTGCTTTTTGGAATAGTTGTTGTTGTACACATTTTTGTCATGCCCACTTAGACAATATGTTACAGGCATACTGCCCAGACAGGCAAGCATACCCATGGAAACACCCACTATAGAAATATATATTGAGGAGGCACTTACCTCCCGGGCCTCTTGCACGCCTTCCCTCTGGTCGGCCGGCATGCTCCCACAGGTTGCGCAGCCAGGGGTAGAACGCCGGCTGCGCATTAAGGGGTGGTTCCCCCCCAAAAGGGTCCTGGCTCTGTAGAAGGCGTTCCTTTACCTTAGACCTGACCTGGGCTTGGGTCCTGGGGAAGCCTCTACGGGCCAGTTCCCTTGCTATCTGGCGGTAAATCAGCTGATTGGGGTGTGATGTGGACCCCATAAGGAGGGTCAGGTGGGGGCTTTCTGACATGATGTCAAGCAGGGCCTCCACCTCCACCCTCTGCCACAGCTGCCATCTGTTAGCCATTTCTAAAGTTTGCAGGTGCAGCTGTGGCTTTCCCCTTGAACTTCCTAGTAATTCTATTTCCTGCGCCACTAGGTGGTGCCAACCAGTGAAATCACCGTCAGACCGGAAGAAGCTCTTTAGCGCA